GCTCTGCCATCTTGAGTATGAGGATGTGGTGTCTGAAGTTGAACGTGAGTGCGGCTGGGACACACTCCTCAATACTGACAACCACCAATATGCAGTGGGTCTGCTGGCCAGGTGAGACCTCCCTTCTCCCTGCTCTCCCCATCATTTCTCCCCAGCAGATGAGGTGGCCCCAACATAATCCCTGTGGTTATGGGTGAGAGGGACTTGTCACTGAAGTATAGCCCTGCAGACTGGAAAAGCCTGGGAGAGCTGGTTCTCTGGAGCAGCCACAACCCAAAGTGCCAGCATGCCCTCCCATGAGTCCTGGGCTGATGGCACAGAACAGGAGGTCTGTCTGCAGGGAACCTCACTGAGGACAGCCTGCCAGGGCCAGAGAGATTTAGGGACAACCACTGATGGCCATCCACAGCATGGCTGCTCATATGCCCTGTGGGTAGGAAGGTGTTTTTCCAGACTGGTCATCCTCAGTGGACCCTGCCAGTGTTGGGTACTGCCTTTCTCCTTTTGAGAGGTGGTGGGGAAGGATCAGGCTTTGGTAATTCAGTCCCAGGAGAGGTTTGCCCACCCTGCTCAGGATCAGTGATGTTTTTCTCTCCTCCAGAGCAATGCTCAGGGTCTCACAGAGCTTGTGTTACCGGATCGCACGCTACCTGTTCAGGCTGCTCCGCAGAGAGGAGGCTCGTTGGGAAGTCTCTGCCGTGGCATTCCTTGTTGAGGTGAGCCTGATGGCGAGTGCTGCCTCACTGGGCTGCCTCCCTCCACTCTGCCCTCTTGGACACACAGCTGTAGGGGGAGTCCAGTTTGTGGAGCTGGGGCAGAAGCTGTGGTCTGCTCTGTGTCCTTGGCCCCTTGCTGCTGGGGTGACACATATGACCTCTCTCACCGCTCTGTTGTTTCAGCTCCTGCCTTGCCTTAACACAAAGGAATGGGGTGAACGCATCCTGCAACTTTTCCCAATCTATCTCTTGAGGGATCACAGAGTGATGTGTCTCCTGCTGCTCAGATGCCTCCTGGTGCTCTGTAAGAGACCCTCTATGGTAAGCAGCGGGCAGCTGCCTGAAGCTGTCCTGGCAATGTGGGGCTGCGTTACACAGTAGGTTGGACTTGTCTGAGCTTCAGGAGCTGTGTCAGCTGCTGCCAGCGTTCCTGACTCCCCATTCAGCTACCAGAGTCCTTCAGAACAGGCCTCTGGCTTCTTGGCTCTAGGGCAGTAGCATGGGGTTGAACTGCTGCAGTGGTTTTGGCAGTGCAGCCTTTGATGGCTTCAGAACATTGCATTGTGCTCCTCACAGGCCAACTCAATCCTGGCCTTGACTGGAAGCCTCACAGAGGTACTGAAGAATAAAGATGCAGAGGTGGTGGGCAAGACCCTTTCTGTGTTCTGCGAGGTGCTCCAGGACAGAGATGTGCCAATTGCCGGTTCCATTGCTCTGCAGCTGGCTGAGGCACTCCTGCCACTATTTGAGAATGTAAGGCTCTGTGCCCCCTGCCGTGGGCACTGGGTGCTGCCAGGAAACTTTATACCCTGAGGATTTTCAGGCCCATGCCCAGGTGGGCCTGGAGAAGCTGGTGCTGAGGTCTTGCCCTCTTCATTCCCACTAGGACACCAGCCATGTGCAGCTCCTCTCCATTCGACTCTTTCAAGTGCTAATGAGGTTGGTAGAGGAAGAGGGAAAAGAGCCCCTGGAGAAGAATGTGTGCCAGAGCCTGTTACCGCTCTTCTATCACATGTATGATGAGAACCAGCATGTGGCACAGGTGAGGATTCTGAGCTGCTGGTGTCCCCTGTGAAGAGGGCTCAGCTGCCTCCTGCCCTAACACCTTGCAGACTGCAGTGCTCCTGCCTCCTCCTGGCCTTGGCTACAGGGATGCAGTCCTGTGCCCTGGGCTGCTGTGCCATCTCCCAGTCTCTGTGGCTCTGCAGGCCTCTTGGGAAACCCTGCTTCAAGCAACAAAGTTCCTGAAGAAGGAGAATCTTGAGGAGCTGCTGGAGACAGATGAGATGTGGAGGTTCGGCGAGTGCCTGGTAAGGATGGCCTCAAAGCCCCAGACCCAGCCTGAACAAGCTCTCAGCTCCTGATACTGAATGTGGAGGATGGCAGCTATGGCCCCTACCCACTCCTGCCCACATCAGCACCAGCCTGCACCCCACACACTACTACCATCGGGTGTGTGGCCCAACAGGCTCTTCTCCCTCCCTGAGCCAGGGTGCTGACAGAGTTCTGGCCCAGCTGTGCTTTGGCATCAGAGTGATACTGGGGCTCCCTGTGGAGCACCTAGCCCTCTGCTCCCTCCAAACCTTGGCACTAGCCAGCTGCTGGCTGAGTGTCATGGGTGTCCAAGCAGGGAAGGTCAGTCCTGGGTGCAGCAGCTGTCCAGCAAAGAGAAAGGATCACTGCCAACCCTTCCCTGTGTCCCTTTCTGCTCTCTCTAGCTGGCAGAGGACAGAAGCAGAGCAAACGAGTACCTGCGCCAGTCCGTGTCATACCTGCATAGCCCGCAGAAGTCTGTACGAGAGGCAGCCATCAGGCTCACTGGTGAGCCACAATCCCCAGAGTCCCCTCACTGCCCCGCTGCAGCTTGGCCCCAGCTCTGGTGGCTCCATGGCAGCAGGACCCGGCCCAGTGGCTGTGGTACGCTGACTATGCCTCAGGACTCTCTGCCACCCTCTCCTACCCTTGCCCTTGTGCTTTATACGTGGCTCAGCCCTGCCAAGGGGAGGAATACGTGCGGCCGGGCTGGCAGTGCTGGTGCTGGGGAGCTGTGTTGCTGGGGCAAGGACAGGCTGTGTGTTCCTAGGGTACACCAGGTGGCATATGAGGGGGCAACAGGAATTGCTCCAGGTCACCTGCAAGGGTGAATGAGGGCAGCAGGCTGTCAGCAGGGACTGGCATGAAAAAACAGAAGGATCGAGCTGCAGTCCCTGCCCCAGCTGGAGAGGGTTCTACTCCCTGTCCAGACAAAGAGCAGTGTGGGTAGAGCAGAGAGAGGTTTAAGGGGCTTGTGGGGTATTCGTGGCAAGCAGTTTAGGGCTTATCCTCTTAGTTCCTGCTCCCTTCTGACCATGGGAAGGGCTGGTTGGGGTGGCCCTGGCAAGAGAGGTTCCTGAGGTTCCCCAAACCTTGGCTCTATTTCTCTCTGTTTCAGCACGTCAAGGAGCAACAAATAACTTTAATACCTCCATCTCAAACTTCGCAACTCAAACCCTGCACCTTCTAAGAGCTGTAGAGAGACATCCTTTCTTCAGATTCAGGCTGCTGCAAAACCAGCTCCGTATGGCGTGGAGGAGGCGGCCTTCTCTCTTGGACAATGGCTGGCCGCCTGTCTGTTACACTGGCCGGCCACAATGCTGGAGGTCTCTGCAGAGCTGATCCTGGAAGCTCTGTCTTCTGGGGCCACCTGAGTGTACAGGAAATACTAGGTGGCTTCTGGCCTCTCCCAACCCACAGGACAACTCTTCTCTAAGACCACTTTTCTTTAACTCTTTTAAGGAAACTTTTTTCATGCAAATATCAGCACTAGTTCAGGACCTTTTACCTCAGGCTCCTGCCACCCAGACCCCAATTTGCAGCTTCCACTGCAGCTGCACACTGACTTATCTGCACTGAATATACTCCTCAACAGTCCTTACCTTTGTTTTAATTGAGCATACCGGCTAATACATTGAAAGGGAAAAAAGGAAAGTTTCAAGGCACTTAACCAAATATAACATTGTAACAAGTTACAAACTTAACACAATTAAGGGCAGAAATGACTATCAATATAAAATCACACAGGATTCTCAAAAGACTGTTACTCATCATTCACTGCTTGTTAACATACTGGGACAAGTATTCATCTCCATCCAGCAGGCTGGTCTTAACTGCGATATAATCTCACACACAGAATATGGCGAGTTGGAAGGGACCTGTTATTAGCAACATCTTCAAACCACCTGAGCTAATCTCCTAATGACATACAGCTGATGTATTATATTTGCTGTAAAATGAGCACCCCTGATTCAACTGACTTGGTGCCCCTGCTGCAACTGGATCTGGTTGCAAGAGATCTCTCATCAGGTCCTAATTTCTACATTACCTCTCCACTAGGCTAGCTATTCTCTGGCTTTTAGTTCTCAGTGGCCTCAATTAGAGACTTAATCATTTTCCCTAACACAGGGGGGAATCCACAGCTTCAAAATCCCATAGCTTCAAGAAAACCAGACATGGGAGCTTAATTATGGCCTCTCTTTTTTCTGGATCTATCACTCATTGCCCCTTCCCCAAAATACAGCCAAATATTTATCTTTCTTTTTGACATAGCTGAAGTTTGGATGGAGATGCATGGTGTTGCCTTTTAGGGCAATACATCTAGTATACAAGCATTCCCTTCACAGTTTGCTAATGACAAATCACCTACATGAACGGATTGTACAAGCTCTGATACTGAAATAAATGTATATGTAGAAAAATGTACTTTTATATTTTTTTTAAATATACACAGAATTACCATCATTAGAAGCAAATAATAGTCCACAGGAATCTCATATACATACAAAAAATAAAGCAATGTTTCAGCTGACATATATCTTCTAGAGAACCTCCTCCAGGCATGGTATTTCCAATTTACACCACAACAATCAATTCAAATAGTTATAAATAGCACACTATGTGCCTCTACATGCAGATCTTCCTGGTTCCCTCTTTTTGAAGAGATTCCGTGTGCATACAGCAGCAACCCAGTGAACAGCTCTTTCAGTGGGTGTTTGTGCTTTCCAGAGACATGATCCATCTGTTCACCAATTGTCTATTTGTTTGTTGCAAAAGAAACTCAGAGTGTCTTGAAGGAATCACCACACCCTAAAACACTGTCTATCCCACATGATATAGCACATCTGTATCTTTTTAAATGCTTAAACAACTCTCCTATCAATCTTTTTTTGATATCCCAAGTTTCAGTTAATCTCTCGAATCATCTCCCAGTGTTCGGAATTCAATGCTGGGAGATGGGTTGTTCACCTTGGAGACCTGCTGTGGATACAGGTACAGACATTCCCCCTCCCCTGGATGGCCACGGGCTGGTAAGAGCCTACTGCGCACTGTTGGAGTTCTCCTCAGAGCTCTGGACAGCTTCTCTGGGATGGGTCACATCAGCAGACTAGGTGCCACGCAGCACCCATCTCTGACACTCCAGATTCGGGAATCTGAACTCATCTCCCCACTCCCATCAATGAAGACCATCGGAGATCATGAACCATCCATTTGGAACAGCGCTTTCCTAGTGCTTAGGACTGACAGACCCATGTTCAACAGCAGTCTCTAAACTGCAAGTCCCCTTGCACGCATTATGAGCCCCCTGAATGCCTTATGAGCGATTCCAAACTCCCTGTGTGTTTTACAGGGATGCCTTATGAGCCCTCTGCATGCCTTATGAGTTACCTCAGTCCCCTATGCGGCTTGGGAGAGACCCTAAAAACTCTCTTTTATGTGTGCCTTTCGCTGATCAGGCTGCTCACCCATACTTGACCTACTGCAGTAATTTTACCAACTTTGTACTAAATGCTGCAGCAACAGAGAGACTAAAATAATTTGAGAAATTTAATAATTATAATTTGAGACCCTTATGATTTATATTGAATATGCTCTGGGAATTTTAACACTCATCCTTTGAATCCTCCCTGCTCCAAAGGTCCCAGGTGAACTCACCCAGTTCAGCAGCTGGATGTTTGGAGAAGGGCTCTGACGGTGGTGGCCTAGGGTCCCATTTGGATTGTCAAACTCTTAAGGAAAGTTCCCTGTCTGACCATGCCACGACCCATTTGGTTGGGGATGTGATGTTGATTGTAAGTTATCAATAGCTGAATAAAGACAGCAGTCCATATGTCAGGGAACTCCTATCCTTTTATTATACAGTTGCCTTAAGTCTGGCAACTAGCCCACTCTATAATCGTAGAAGTGCTGGTTAAGCTCTCAACATTTACAACTAATTTTAACAAGCTCCCAATCCTCACCACAGACTTTGGTATAGACCAAGGGGTAGAATATGACAGCCCGCACCTTGCCAAGACAAGAGAGGAAGAAATAAAGATGGAACAGGGAGACAGAGAAGGAAAATCTTGATGACTATGTGATTCTGTAAAACATTCAAAACAACAAGGCTGAAGACTGCGATGATGTTACCCTACATTTACCGTCATTCAGTTAAATCGCATGATTCGTGACCTGGCAGGTATCCGTGCTACTTCTTTAGTTACGGCCGACTGTGATACTATTGCCTAGCACAACTCCAACGATACACACTTTTATCAATCCAGTGGAGTGAAAAAAAAAAACTACCATAGGCATTTCCTTCCGTTTATCAGGAAGGCTCCGCCTATCGCAGCTACAGCCGCCGGGTGTCGGCACCGCCCGCTCCCGGCGGAGGAGGCGGCTCCGCCCTCCTTCCCGGCCGATCGCTGAGCAGCGCGTCACGGCCCGCGCCGCCCGGCCCGCTGCTGCGCCCGCACGGGGTGCGCCTGAGCCCCGGCCCGCCGCGGAGCCCCCGCGGAGCCATGTCGCGGCCCCGGCACGTCCCGCCCAGGCAGCCCGGCAGGGGCGCCGGGGGCTCGGGCAGCGCTGCCGCGGCGCCCCGCGTCCGGGGCGGCAAAGGTCTCAGGGATGTCCGCGTGGACGAGGAGGTGGAGATCGCGGTGAACCTCGCCCTGGAGCGGTTCCGCTACGGCGAGGACACAGGTGCGTGCGGCGGCCCCGGGGAGCGGCGAGGCCGGAGCGGGGCCGGCGGACACCGTGGCCCGCAGGCGGCCCCGGCCTGCCCCGAGCGGGCCGGCGGCGCCACCAGGAGCCCTGAGCGGGGAATGGGGGCAGCCAGTCCCGGTGTCGCCAGTCCTGACGTGCTCTGCCAGCGCGGTGGGTTCGGGGATTGATAAACCCTCGTAGGATCGAGGTAATACGTCGAGAATACGGCCTCCTGTGTTGTTACCTTTTTTTATTATTTATTTCTATTTCTAGAAATGGAGTTTCCCTCTTCTTTCACTAGTACTGAAAGAGCATTTGTTCACCGGCTCTGTCAGTCTCTTGGACTGATATCTAAAAGTAAAGGGTAAGTTGGACTCTGATTTTTATGTATTATATTCTCTTTTTGGTGCGAATTTATGGAAATTCGTTACTACCATGAAAACGATCTGTACTTCTAGGATATCTTCAGCTGTTGCAGGGAATAATACTAGAGGAAAAAAAAACTTTAAAAAGTAGATAATAAAAATTAGCACCTGATGTCTGCTTAAAAAAAAACATGTGACATACTCTTTTGAGATAGCTGGCTCCTATGGATTTCATGTCCATAAAAAAGACTTTTCTCCAGGATGTGTTCTGCCTTCTTCTTTTTTTTCCATGCACTCCTGTGGGATCAAAGGTTTTGGGTAGAATCTCCAGATAAAACGTAGCTTCTAACAGCAGGTCCAAAAGAGTGCCTCTGTTGGGAAGTGCAGGTGAAAAGAGTTGGTGTATTGCCAGCAGGTGGAGGGAGGTCATCCTTGCCCACTACTCAACACTGAGTAGGCTGCACCTGGAGTGCTGTGTCGAGTGCTAGGATCACCAGTAGGACAGAGACCTAAACTGGGTCCATGAAGGACCAACAACATGATGAAAGGACTGGAGTATCTCCCCTTTCAGGAAAGGGTGAGAGGGACTGTTCAGCCTGGAGAAGACAAGGCTCAAGGGGATCTTATCACTGTATATAAGTGCTTGAAGTGAGAATGTAAAGAGGACAGAACCTGAGTCTGCCAGAGTGGTTGCACCTCTCCTCACAGAGGTTGCCTGGGCCAGCACCTGGGTACCTGCACCGCTCTTCTACCACTGCCAGGAATGGGGCACTCGGCTCTTAGTGTGATCTTCTGTTCTTACCCAGAGAAGTCATTTTTAAAGGATTATTATGTCTTCGTACCCAGGTACAAGATGGTTCAATCTCAAATGTGTTTACAATTACTCTTTACGTTTCTGTGTCCGAGTTCCATCTGAGAACAAATGCAGTGTTACAAGTGTTTTGGTTCTGTTTCTACATAGAAAATTTTTGAATTTTCTATGGGAACATCATGGGAATCTAATTTGTTTTACTGCATTTTGTTAAGGCTTGGAATGTCACTAGCAGGCAGCTTATTTGTCTCTTTTGCCTCTTTGTTGATTTTTAATCTCTAGATCTCTTAAGTTAGTCTAGAAATCAATTTTGTATTGTAAATCTCAGTATTAATTGGTAGAGCTGGCTGTATTTTGGGATGCAGATGCAGTAATGGACCTTTAACCAAAGACATTAGAAGAGTGTCACGTTACAGAGGCCTATATGTAAGGTTGTGCTGAGCATAGTGATCTGAAGTCTGCAGTGTCTGTGCTGCACTGCCTCATGTGAATAGAGTGCCTTTGGTAGTGGATCTTGGGATGTTGCTATTACTTTGGTGTTCATTATGCTACTTGAGGCATAATTTGAAGTTTCTAGTTATGACATTATGTTTGAAAATAATTTGACAGCCATATTGAAAAAATTATGAGCAAAGATTGTTACATTCAGGTAACTAGTGTGCTTATTCCTAAAATGCTTTTTTTTTTTTCCTCCCCAGAAAAGGGGCGAATCGATACCTAACTGTAAGGAAAAAGCATGGATTAGAACTAAAACATACAGTAATGACTTGTGCCTTAACTCCTGTTACAAAACTTGCTGTTTGTACTTTAATTCGAAATTTTCCTGTCACGAATAAAGAAAGAACAGAACTTCTGCCGAAGATGGAGCGAGGAAATGCATGTGCTGTTGAATCTGGTATGTTCAGTATATTTTCTGATATGGAATTGTCAATCAACACTACTTGACAAAATAACACAACCCAACCACAAAACAAACCCCTCTATATTATGTTTGCTCTCCTGTCCTACCTAACA